AAATCCCTCCCTTCCCCACCATACCTCAACGTCCCACAGCAGGAGCTCAGTGGACCCATGATTCTTTAATCTCCCTACCCTCATCAAAAAACACTGCAATAGATGCTCAGCACCAAGAGTTGGAGAATTCCTCTGTAGAGCAACCTCAATAAATGGTTCGCCAAATAACTGATCAGCTTCAAGGGATGAAGAAAAATGTTCACACAAAGCAGCTTAGGCTTTAATACATAATACGGTAGTTTGTGAGGAAAAGCTCACAAACTCAGTATACTTAATAAATTCTGTAAGGACCTATAACATACAGGAATGGATTTTCTCTGGCAGATTAGTTAGCTCAGAAAGCCGACGCTGAATGGATAGCTATATATCTTAACCTATAATGACAGACGTGGGCCAAGTTCTATCACATGCTAAATGTCACTTTTCAAATCCAAATGACAACAAACTGCAACCTCAAGTTCATTAACCCGGTGGAGAGCTCCGCCAACCAACGGTACCAATGCTGAAAAGGACAGAGTAGATTGCACTCATCTCCTACCTCTGCCCGACCCTCATAGTAGGTTAACACGGATTTTGTAAGCACAAAAAGTCTCTCTTTGTAGTTTAAGGGTGATGTCTTCTTTTTCTGCTGGGACCTTTTAATAAGAATCTCTTCTAGGATAGTGTTAAAATTCATCTCGGTCTTCTGGTTGCTCTTTCTCCTGCCATTGAAGATCCGGGGATTCTACAGTAAGAAAATAAACAGTGAGAATGTGGGCTAATTCCCTAATGCTGTTGCAGTTTCAAACTGTAAATACAGACCCTCCTCTCGCTCCAGCTGAGGCAATCCTAAATGTGCACACTAGGATGGCCAAGGCAAAGAACTCTTCCCCTCTTGACCTCAGCCTCCATCCTGCCCAGCCATTTCCTAGGAGAATCTAATTAAGATTTCCCACAATGATGACAATGGCGATGCAGGCTTTGTCTCTCCCAGGATCCCTCAGCTCCCCAGCACATTCTGCTATTTGACTTCAGAGAACAAATATTTCAGATGGCAAAGTGCATTCTGTTGCCTGTGCTGTCGATTTAAGCCTCGAGATCTTGGTACGCAAAACAGGTGACCACACAGAATAATTGACTTGAACGATAAATGAGCATGGTAGTGGATACAATTTGTTCATCTGTAACTCAGTGAAGATGTCGTCTTGGTCTGGTATCGTAGTGGTGCCGTAGGGAAGCTGTTGCTACAGGGATGTCCCCTGAAACCCACATTACCATGAGCCGTGTGCTATCCAGACCACAAGAGGAAAGGAAACACCTGTCAGAGCAACCCACCTGGATCCAGAGACCCTCAGTCCTGCACCGGGAGCCTTTTGAAACTTACACAAGAGATGGCAAGACGGCTGAATGGGTAAAGGTGCTTGCCACCAAACCTGGTGACCTGAATGCACTTCCTAGAAACCCGCATGGTGGAAAAAGGAGAAACAATGCCTGTAATGTGTCTTCTGACCATCATGGTATGGAAAAAATTGGAAGCGGAGAGGGGAGGAGGAAGGGGAAGAGGTAGGGGAAGAGAAAGGGAGAGAGAGAAAAATGGAAGGAAGGAAGGAAGGAAGGAAGGAAGGAAGGAAGGAAGGAAGGAAGGAAGGAAGGAAGGAAGGAAGGAAGAAATGAAGGAAGGAATGAAGGAAGGAGAGAAGAAAGGAAGGAGGAGGAAGAAAGAGGAAGGAATGGAGGGAAGAAGGAAGGTAAAATTCAACCAAATTTAATTCTTAACCAACTGAAAACCCAAAGGTACATGAAAGAGGACTGCAGATACTTCCCTGAGGCAAGCTGAAGGTAGCTTTCCTTCCCTTGCCTGCTCCATGCCCTTTCAGGAAGTAATCAGACATCAAATGACAGAAATAAAAGGAGTCTCTTGGGGCACATTCAGTGCTACTTGATAGTGTAGGCAGTGACTGGACACTGAGCTACTAAGGAATCCTACCAGGCTTCCTGCCAATCTGATAAGTTTATCGTTCTACTATTTCTCAATGAGCATCAACCACTCGGGCTCCTCCAATTTCTATGAAGGTCTCTTCAACTCCATAACCTCTAAACATCCGCCCCTTGATTTAGAGCAGGGGAATACAAGGTTGGTGTGAGGTTTAAATGAGATGTAGACAATAAACTTACTGTGAACAGGCTATACAAAGATCTATTATGGTTCTATTGAACTCCACTGTCACTTCCCTTACAACCTCTTGGCCTCACAGCTGGACAAAAGCAGCCCCCTCCCAACTGGTCTTCCATTGCCAACACTCTTGCCTCATTTATCTCGAACTACTTCATACCCTTTTCCCGCTGACTCAGTCTTCAGAGTTCCATTTGGTCACTTCATTCTTCTGACATCCCAACACCTGCAGGATAAAGCCAAGACAGTCTGACTCCAGTTGTAATTTCAGTCCACTTCTTCCGCAATCACTCCAAATACTGCTCAAAGCAGTCCCCAGAAGTGCAGGGCTACATCTAATAATATTCATTCCCTGGTCTATAGCACTCCCCCCAACTCCTCTCTCTCCACCTATGAACTCCATCAACTCAGAACTCTCCTCCTTGCTGCACAGCCCTTTCTCATGTCTCCGGTTAGTGCCAATCTCCACTACCTGCGCCCACAGTCTCTCTCATTCATCACAATGCTGATTGTATTCTTCCATGTCTGAAATTTCCATGTGTGTACTCGATTCTGTTTTCCTGAGAAACTGTTGGTAACGCAATTTCCACTTCTTTGGGAATCTTTTTAGAAGACATTTTCAGGAAGGAAAGAAAATGGCCAGTTAGGAAAGATTAGCAGGGGAGAAACAAGCTTATCTAAAGACGGAGGGCTGAATACACCCACTTCATTCCTGGAAGTCCATCAAAATTTGCTATTTTATTTACTTGTTGTTATTAAGAAATTAACACTCTGAGGGACTGAGCTGGCTTAGCAGTTAAGAGCATGTACCATTCTTAAAGATAACCGAGGTTTGGTTCCCAGCACCCATATTGTGGTTCTAGGGAATCCAACACCCTCTTCAGGTCCCCATGGGCACCTGCACTCACATGCACACATCCCCCTCACACACACATAATCTAAAACAATAATAATAATAATAATAATAATAATAATAATAATAATAATATGTTTAAAAAAAGTAAAAATTTAAATAAAAAATTAACACTCAAAAGTAGAAAACAGAAAAAGATATTAAAAAAAAATACAAAAGTTCGGAAACCAGAAGAACACATGCTAGGTTTAACAGAGAAAAGAAGCACCCACCCGGAAACCAACCATTTTATACCATAGAACTTCTAGATGATATAAGAATTAAGTCATCAAATCTAGAAGCCCTAGAGGTGGCCGTAAAAAAAAGAACTCGAAACAAAAGTGTGTTTGTGTGTGAGTGTGCATGTGTGTGTGAGAAAGAGAGAAAGAGAGAGAGTAAATGTATGCATATATGAGTGCCGATGCACAGAGAGGCCAGAGATTAACATCCGTCATCTTTCCCAGTTGATTTCCACCTTAGTTTTTTAGTTAGTGTCTCGCACTGGACCAAGAGCTGCCTGACTCACGAGGCTTTCTAGCCAACAAGCTTCAGGGTTCTGCCTGTCTCTGCCTTCCCAGCACTGAATTACAGGTGTGCCTGCTGTACCTTTTATGCGGATGTTGGTGAACGAAACTCATGCCTTCATACTTGCATGACAAGGACTTCAGCAACTGAGATATCTCCCAAACTCTCTAAAGGCAGGAATTAGTGTTTCAGGAGAAAGGAGTGAGACAGGGTATAGTGAGAATTTTGGTTTCTTAAAAAAAAAAAAAAAAAAAAAAAAAAAAAAAAACAGAAATATTATAAGAATGTTTTTGTTTTATTTTAATGCCAGGTGTGGGATACAGAGCTGCTTCAGATTGTCCACAGCAGCTGACTTTGATCTGTCTCATGCAAGGGTGTGACTTTGCCAATGGCAGATAGTCTCCGCAATTGTGTGACCTTTGGAATCCTGGGGACTTTTTAGAGGGCATATAAATGCTAGGGCCCTGAGAGTGGGTTGTTGGCTGGTTGCTGCTAGTCTTGGTTTGTTAAGTAGCTGTGAGCAAAGAAAGAAGAATTAGATATCCTGAGTGAAAAGACCCAAGGAACTCAACACCCCTAATGAGCAGAAAGTAGTCTAATAATAACACCACCCCTTTTCTTTCCATCCAATTTTCTCTCCTATCTAGTGTTAGGGGGTTGAAAAGGTGGAAAAAGGATGGAGCAGGGTGGAAGAAAGAAGAGCCTACAAAGTAGTAAAAGTTCAGCTACAATGGGTTCTCACTATGCAGCCTAAAACTCTCTATGTAAATCATACAGGCCCCACACATGCAAGGCATACCCAACATGCCCAGCCCCAAGGGAATTTTTGGCAGGAGTATTTAAGAAACAAAACATACCCCTCTTCTGTGTCATAGGTAGCCATTCTCAATTCTAGGAAACACTAACAGGGTTTTTTGTTTGTTTGTTTGTTTGTTTGTTTGTTTGTTTGTTTTTTGTTAGTTGCTGTTGTTGAAAAAATAGGAATATTTTGCCAAAATAAAGGTTATATCCAGATTAAAATATAGTCAAGTCAAGGTCTTGTGAAATCTTAAAATTATGAGAATTAACAGAATATTCCAAAAGCTTAAAAGTAAATAATATAGAAAAGATCAAAATTCAGAATGGCAATCATCACAGACAGCACTGGCAGCTCAGAAACAGAGGGTTTCTACCCAGGAGAAACTAAGAACCGAGAACAGGGAGGCAGAGGCATCAGAGGATTGCTAACATATACTCACTAATTTTATACTTAGCAGAATGTCAATCCAGGTATAAGATCAGAAATACAGCATTCATATATGCAAGGTTGTGAATTATTTGCCTTGTCTTTACTCTTCTGGAAAATCACCAGATCATGTCTTCTACCAAAATAAGGCAATAAATGCACAGAGTTGTGGAATCAAGGACTCTAACACAAGAAAAAGGAAAGAATTTGCCCCGGAGGCGTTGCAGATGTGTCTGCTGGTTCCTATGCACTTCGGTAGGTGGCAGAGAGGACAGGCTGTATCTACACTCAGGGTTCTGACCTGTGAACTACGACTGATTTGTAGCCTAACATTCCCTGAAAAAAGGAAGCCTGAGATGACCATTAGCCCGGGGTCGGGGAGCCCCAAACAGGGAGCTAGCCTGAGACAAACACCAGTCCAGCACCAGGCCAGGCTCCCAGAATGGGGAGCAAGCCAGAGAGCAGGAGAACCCATCTGGGTCCCGGACAGGAGTGAGCCCAAGACAGATGACCCTTGCAAAGGGCCCTGAGGCAGGCCAGGTGAGGAAGGAGCCCGAGATGAGGAATGAGACCGGTGCCCTGGGGCTTGGACAAGGAGATAGCCTGAGATGACCACCAGCCTGGTGTTGGGTATGCCTAGGGGGCAGACCATACCCAAGATGACCCTGCTTTATGCTATAATGTATTAGCAGGGTATAGCACTCCTGACACCACTCCCAAGACACCTTCAGACACTCAGAGACCCTGGGCACCACTAAGGATGAGCAGGTATGATACAGAAAAATGGAAAAGAAAGAAAAACAGCAAGATGAGGGCACAATGAACAAAGGCAGAACTGGAGACTTGAGGGTAGTGAGGAACAGCCTGATGTGAGTAGCCAGCGATGCTATCTGGGACCATGGCAGGTCCTGACCTGTGCTGCCCCCAAGGACCACATCTGGATCTCTGGCCCTGCAGCAGCAGGGCTCTGTCACCAAAGGCCATATCTCTGGTCTGGGCTGCCACCTGGGGACATGTTGATATCTGAGGGCTGTGCAGAACTGGCCCACCCCTTACCTGGGCATTATGGGAAAGCTGGCCCTGGGGGTATAACAGCAGGAGAACTGACCTCACCCTTAAGCAGCTGTAGTACTGCTCTCCCACAGGAGAGTGGGCCACACTTTGGGGGAGTTGCTGGTGAGATGCCCCCAAGGCTACAAGTGTGGGAGAGCTGGCCCCACCACTCATCTCCTGTGCGGTGGCATGGACACCTTGACCCTCACTACCACCAGCAGGCAGGAGACCTGGACCTGGGGTCATGATAGCTGGAGAGCTGTCCCTGCCCTTCACCATCTGCAGCACTCGTGAGAGCAGGCCCTGCTCCTCACCTGGGCAGCAGAGAAAAACTGGCCCTAGTTGCAGGGGTTGCGGGTGAGAGCAGGAAAGCTGGTGGGCTGATCAGTTTAGACAGGGCTTTGAAATGACCCACCTCAATAGTTATCCCACTGGTGCACTGCAGGACTGCATGAAGGGGCCAGCCTACAGATCCAAAACTGCAAGATCTCCATGACACAGGACAACAACAGGATGTCCAAGAGGAGTCCCAGTGAGGTTCCAGTATTGATAGAGTAGAAGCCAGAGGCCTCATGCCAGACCAATGAGTCACTGCAATGAACATTTGCAAGCAAAGAGGTGTGGACAAAGTTTGGCTATGCATCTCAGCATATGTTTTGATACCCTGCTGGGTAGAATCTTTCAGAGGCTGTCTGTGATAGGCCCCTGTCCTGTTCCCTGTTTTTTCCCTCTTCCGATGTCCTTCTCATTTGCCTTTCTGAATGAAGATTGAGCATCTTACCCAGGGTCCTCCTTCTTGATTAGCTTCCTTAGGTGTACAGATTTTAGTATGATTATCCTATATTATGTTGCTAATATCCACTTATAAGTAAGTACATACCATGTGTGTCTTTCTGCTTCTGGGATACCTCACTCAGGTGATCGTTTCTAGATCCCACCATTTGCCTGCAAATTTCATGATTTCCTTGTTTTTAATTGCTGAGTAGTATTCCATTGTGTAAATGTACCACAATTTCTGTATCCATTCCTCAACTGAGGGACAGCTGGGTTGTTTCCATCTTCTGGCTATTACAAATAAAGCTGCTATGAACATGGTTGAACAAATGTCCTTGTCGTATACTTGAGCAACTTTTGGATATCTGCATAGGAGTGGTAAAGTTGGGGCTTGAGGTAGCACTATTCCTATTTGTCTGAGAAAGCTCCAGATTGATTTCCAAAATGTTTGTACAAGTTTACACTCCCACCAGCAATGGAATATGCATAACCAAACTTTGAGGAGAGTGCAGGGAATCTTATGAAAGAAGAGGGAGATAGAAAGACCTGGAGGGAACAGGAGCTCCACAAGCAGAGAAACAGAACCAAAAGATCTGGACCCAGGGGTCTTTCTGAGACTGATACCCCAAATAAGGACCATGCATGGAGATGGCTTAGAACCCCTGCACAAAAGTAGCCCAAGGCAGCTCAGTATCCAAGAGGGTTCCCCAATAATAAGACCAGGGACCATCTCTGACATGAAATCATAGGCTTGCTCTTGGATCACCTCCACCTGAGTGGGGAGCAGCCTTACCAGTCTGCAGAGGAAGACAAAGAAGCCAGTCCTGATGAGACCTGATAGACTATGGTCAGATGGAAGGGGAGGAAGACCTCCCCTATCATTGGACTGGGGGAGGGGCATAGGAGAAGAAAAGGGAGGGAAGGTGGGATTGGGAGGGGAGGGGGAAGGGGGCTATAGCTGGAATACAAAGTGAATAAACTGTAATTAATAAAATAAAATTTAAAAAAAGAAGTGTGGACAAAAGAGTATATAATGTAGGACACACTATGAGATATTACAGCTTCCACAATGAGATTTTTTTTCTCCGTTGATGGGGGGGGGGGGTTTGCAAGGGTGGAAGGTGGGTATGAGGGGAGGGGAAAATGAATTGGATTGGGGTGCATGATGTGAATTAACAAAGAGCAGGAAGAAAGAGAGAGAGAGAAAGAGAGAAAGAGAGAAAGAGAGAAAGAAAGAAAGAAAGAAAGAAAGAAAGAAAGAAAGAAAGAAAGAAAGAAAGAAAGAAAGAAAGAAAGAAAGAAAGAGGAAGGAAGAAAGGAAGGAAAGAAGGAAGGAAGGAAGGAAGGAAGGAAGGAAGGAAGGAAGGAAGGAAGGAAGGAAGGAAGGAAAAAGCAAGAAGACCTCCCAATATCCCATCATGATGAAGGGAAATTCCAAGATGAATGACAGCAACAAGCAAAGAGACTAACCTGACAATATATCAAGTTAGAAGGTTCCTGGGAAGAACTCTCGTAGAAGATAAAACTGAATGCAGAGGGAAGTGCATAGTAAGTTAGTTAAACATTATTGATGTAGGAAACAAAACTAGTTCCAGAGAAAATAAAAAATCATATTGCAAAGGCATAAAAAAATCAACCAAAGTATATCCTGGGCCTGGCTGTATAAATAGGATCCATAGCATCACAATAATATAAATAATAAGTAATAAACTTGCTACTTTCATAAATGTTTTTGGAGGGCAGGAAGTGTGTTTCCGTGTGGGTGGAAGAGTAGGTTGTGCAAGAGAGCCACATTCTCTTCAGTTGTGAGAACCTAAACTTGAAATATCAAGTAACATAAGCATGCTACCTACTTAAGAGATTATCTAAAGATAAAGTTACGACAAGATTACATGGATCGATTTAGCTTTTCTGTCAAACTGTTGAATGTCACACTCTTGAACTCCAAAGCCCCCCAACTCAGCCTCCTGTGTGACAGGCACTGTGCGCACACCTGGTTAACAGTTTTGGCTTTTTACTCTTTTGCTCTATGTCGACACTGTCCAAACCACTAAGCACTCATAGGCCTTGCATCATCCCATTCCCTCAACAGTTTTTCGGAAGCGTGTGCCTACACACTAGTCACAAACCAAGAGCCGGAGTCAGGCTGCAACCCCTGGTGCAGCTCCAGCACCAATCCTGCTGCACACTCCAGGAAAGTAGAGCAGGAGGGGAAAGGTGCCATTCTGAGCAGCTTCATTTGGGAAGATTATTGAAAGCAACTGCATTCCTCTCCAGATGACCACAGAGATGGCCTATGGCTGAGAAGAAACCTTTTGATCCCCAAAACCGAAGGGGAGCTGTCCCCTCTGAACAAGGACACAATAGGATTGATTTTCCGTGCCGAGGCCTGTTCTCCTGTGATGTGCTCCTCCCCCCCCCCCCCCCCCCCCGTTGGATTTCTTAGGCACTGGGATATGGATGACTCCTTCTAGGGAAATCTGTCTTCAGCCCTTGATAGATAGGAATAACATGGTTTGTATTTGGGGGGGCTTTCACTGAAGGTGAGAGTCTCCTCAAATGCTCCAGACTCTTCTCCCAAACATGACATAACTCTGGTCACAAATATCTTTCTTCGGTTTCTTTAGGGGACAGAATCTCATTATGTCACCCAGGCCGGCCTGGGATTTGTGGTTCTCCTGCTTCTGCCTCCTAAAACCCTAAAGGGTTTTCGGCTATCTGCCACCACACCCGCTTCTTCACATAAAACGAAACTGCCAAATGAAGTCCCCTTTGTCTATGTCCTGCCAAAGCTAAAGACAACCTTACCCTTTACCTCGGCAGCTACTAAAAGCTTAAAACAGACATTACCAGACTTTGAACACTTATATCCTGAAGCAGACAATGGAAAAATGTCACCATCTCACCAGCGACAAACTCAAGCCACCAAAGTTATATTCTCTGCCCAGTGTTACATAACCTGAGGGTGAGATCCAGCATTTGCGGCCAACACATCTTAGAACCTCATTGATCATGAAAGACTCCGCTTGGAACGAGCACATTTTAAAACCTAAGTGGCCACTAAGGCAGCCCATCCAGTCAATACAATCTTCCATAACATTCTCCATCAAAGGAGCAGAAGTGCTAACCCAGAAGGCAGGCAAAAGGCAGGAGAAAGCCACACCTCCATCTTACTTTAGAAATTACATGTCAGTTAGTGCTGCTCCCTCCACTGGTCAAAGATGCAGTGGAGGGTGATTAAGGCAGACTCGTCTATTAAAATTGCTGAGAACAAGTGACGGTTAAGTCTCAGCCTCAATAGGGCATCTATAATGCTCCCTCCAAGATTCAGAAGCATTGAGGAAGAAGGAGCAGGAAAAATATAAGAGCCAGAGGATGAGCAGGAGCACAATAAAGCTCTGTCACATGGACATGCCATGGCTATGAACTCAGCATCAATGGGAGCCTTCACAAGACCTGCAGAAGATGTGCAAGGACTGACTGGTCCATCAGTATTCCAGGACTGGG